CCACCTACTTTATTTCCAGTGGTTAAAACCCCCCGAGCAGCAAATTCAAATCTGTATATTGCTCTCCTGTATTCATCTCAGAGGGGGCTAAAATTAGTTTGAGTCATCACATGACAGAACATATTTAGCAACTCTTCAGAAATATGTCATGTGTGCGGGAGGAAGAAGAGAGCATACGAGTGTAAAAATAAAACTTTACTTACACTACAGAAGTTGTTTGAGAAGTGGCACATATTTTTCTCAATACCTTAAGAGTTGATCAAGAATTTAAGGTCACACAGAGTAATTGATGTGTACAATGGTGAAATACTCCCGTAAGTGCATAGTACGGGTTGAAGAACTAAGACTAGGGGAAGGTAAACTGAAGTTATGAAGGTTATTTATTTATACAATGTTCTCACAAATATAGTAGAACTGCATGCATCCTGTCAGTGTTAATGACCCTCTTAACGTGGCCCACCTGTCTCCTGTGAGGAGCTGCTGAGCTCCACTTAGCCATATTAGGTGCAGAGTTGGGGAAACATGACGTATGGAGTGCAGGCTGTATGTGTAATGTGAGAGCCCTGCTCCAACAGGCCAGAAACAAGTACATTTCAGGTACGGAAACATGTTGCATGCTTGAGTTGGAAAGGGGGCGTATTTCAGCCCAAATGATACATTTTCTCTGTCATAAAGTTGTCTTCACAGTTTAAACAAAACACCATTTTATTGGCACACATTTGATAGCTGGACTTATTTTTGCCGCTTTTCACCGTTATATGGGGAAAAAAACACTTTTCTGTCTAGAGTTCGATAGCTTGAGATGGACACCAACTCCTTTTCTTTTCATTTCCTTAGTCTCTGTACATTTATGAACTGGAGTCATAAACTCTCTGCATAGGGGTGACTTATCGGCCAAGTACAGAGTTGAGCGGTTACATATTTACATCGATCCATGCCGCTCATTCAGGGCACATTTTTGTCCACTTTTTGATTTAACTTATTTACAATAGTCCACCTTGGTTGTCGAATCCATACCAATTGTCCATCATATCTAATGTTAAGTGGACATACTTTAAAGCCATCACCTTCAAAGAATAAAATGCCAATATGTGAACAATGCCCCCTTGTATCACAGCTTGTTTCTCATACATGAACAGCAGAGTATTATGAGTCCTGCAACTTGGATGCTGAGTTGTTTTTCTAGCATGAAGTTTAACCTTGTGATCTAATTCTGACATTTTGAAACGTACACATTCAATCAAAAAATGATTGAATGATCCCGAGATTAAACTCACAAACAAACCCACGTGTCAGTTGAACGCACGCTTTGAGTGTCCTCAGCTCAGCTCTCACTCCTGAGAGTGCAATGACTCATGCAGCTCCTTTCACAACAATCCAAAGGTGACATGATGCAACATGCTCTCGTGTTTTTCCTACAATGCAGACAGGGGTAGCAAACAACCGAGACCTATGCATTATCTTGAGAGGGTTTAAAGTTAGCAACAACGCAATGCATATCCTGTCCCCTGACATCCAGCAGAGTATCCTTCCTTCACCACCAACCGCAAAATCAATCAAGTGTTTTTTTTTATGCGCCTTAGCAACACTTAATCTGCCTTTATGCCTTTATGCCTTTATGCCTTTATGCCTGCCTGCCTGCCTGCCTGCCTGCCTGCCTGCCTGCCTGCCTGCCTGCCTGCCTGCCTGCCTGCCTGCCTGCCTGCCTGCCTGCCTGCCATTATTTCCAAACACAAGTCAGTGTTTTCTGTTCTGAGAGCAGCGAGGCTCCAGACGGTCAGGTGAGGCTGTTCTCTTCCTCTGCCCTACATATAATCAGACAGCTACCTGTGTCCCTTGTACAGACGAAGGCTTATGTGTCTGCGTGGCTTCAGACAATGGGGACGTCCCCAGGTGCCCAAGATACTGGAAGATAATAAATGTTGTGTGTATGTTCCAGACAGTCACAAAGGAAGAGTGGCTGTGCCCGCACTGACAGGCAGCAGGATTACAGCTGGAGAGGTGACCACAGTTGTGGTCGCGACACAGAGGGCCTCATCATATAACTTTGCGTGGGGCCACAAGTTGGCCAGGGCCAAGTTGGCCCTGCAGTAGACTCACAAAGTGTCAGAAAATACAACAGTCTCTCTTTTCCTCCGTACCCACATCTCTAAACATGGGGGTACAACGGAGCTGATCCAGATTTGCGTCCGATATAACTTGATATCGGAAATGTTGCTATCACAAAAAATGTGCGACGTGTTTTGGACATAATATGGTCTCTTTTTACATTAGCAAGCATCGCTAACACTCAGAGATAATGCCACTTATTATTATTAACGCTGTACTGGAGAGAGTAGGCTGTGTACAAAATCAGGATATAAAAAGGTTTTATGTTATGTTTCAGAAATAATCCTTGATGTAGTTTGGAACATGATATGGCGTTTAATCACTGCAGCGTTTAGCTGAGTATCTGTAGAATTCTCCTGCATGAGCTATTTTTTTTATTTTTTTATTTTTAAAGCTATACGGACCCAGAATCAGCACTTCTCTAACAGGGCTGAAATAGAGGGGGTATGAGGCATGGCTAGAATGGGTGATCTGTTTGGTTTTTTGAGCAAAACACATCATAGACATATAATTTATGATGAGAACAAGTGTGAAATGTACAAATATACATCCTAAGTTGAGTCATAAAGACCAGCAGTCACAAAACCAAAGGCCTCGGCCATCGGCGGCTGACTCTTTAAGCTCTTCCTCATCATGCATCTCGCAACAGCAATGCAGCACACCTGAGCAGAGCTGAGTGACACACAACAGCTTATAGTTATACTTTGACTTATGCCTTTTGCAGTCTTTGTCTGAAATATGTTTCCCAGGCTTTGCAATTGAGAAGAAACAAAATGTCCTAAAGTATAATCGCACATTGTCTTGTCACCTGTAAGGAAGTTAGCCTTGTGAAAGCCGGATGAAGAAGACGTCTCTCTCGTCTCTCTCCTCTTGTTTGTAAGGCAGGATGCTGGGCCCGATTCCAAGTCCTCCACTTTGATGCCGAGGACTTTGAAGACCGTGTGTGGAGCATCAAAGAAATGGGGGACTGGGCTGAACCCCAACTCTCCATCCTCAAGGGGGGGGAGAACGGTTAAAGTGCGTGGGGTGACTGTTCACTATGATCAAGAGGATTCAGGTAATACAGAGCTACGGAAGTCAAGACCACGTAGCTCAGTCAGATTTCAGACCCCCTGGGTGGTGTGATGAGTCATTCTTCGGCTCCCCCACACACACACACACACACACACAGAGAGAGAATCAGGTCCACACAGATGTAACCACACTGCACTTCAGAGTAAAGTAACGCAGCGCTGAAAGCTTTTCCTAAATCCTGATTGGATGCAGGCACAATGGGGGTTGATGCTCCAAACTTTTGAGTTCTGTTTCCATGGTGATAGGTTCTGACATGTACCGTCATGACAAGATGTTTTTTGGATTGCAAGGACCAGAGGGGGATCAGACCAATGACAGTGAACGAAGGGGCTGTCAGAACATCCTGATGACCAAAAAATAGGAAAGAAAAACAACTTATTTGAAATCCAAAGAGCTGCACTTCCACTGCAGGCAAAACAACAAACCCAATGACCTCATCCGAGAGCCGAGAGAGAGGTAGTCTTTTAACAGCACACAAAAAGACGCATTTTGTGACGTACCCAGTAGAAAGGAATATTTCCTCTTAGATAATTGGGGTACAATTTGTTGATAATGAGGCGAAGAGAATCTTTTTTTGTGGGAGACAATTTGCATCCTCGTTAGGGCGGTAATTTAGAAACAAAGGCTATTATGCTTCACACGTTTCCAGTGCTAGATGAATCCATCTTTGGCCCTGAAAATAGGATCAGTGTAATCCCTTTGAGAATAAAGTCTTCAAATGAAAAGAGGAACTTAAGTGAGACGAGACAAAACAAAGCAGAGAGTGTGGGCATCGTTGAAAGACTGCCTAGTAACATCTAAAGAAGAACAAGCAGTGTCCTTCAAAGTATGACTGCTTATGAGTTCAACCTGTTTATTCAGTAACGCATTCATTAAATGTGTCCTAGTTCAGTGCTGCAGCATGATAAAATAACCGATTTCAAACCAGAGAAGCCACATGACATCACACCCTGTTTAACAAGAGAAATTGCAATCATGCTGAGTCTTTAAATAGTTATTAGGGACAAGAGTACTGACTGGATCACATGTTTGTTAGCAGCACAAAAGACTACATTTAAATATAATTATTTTCGCTTTAATGACGAAAATATCAAGGGTGAGGCATTGATTCTTTTTTTGCTTCAGTCAGATATTCGTCTGAAACGACGAAGTAAACTCTGTACCCTTCGTTTAAATGCTGCAATTGTGAGGTTAAACCATAGGGTTAAACTGTACGGCGATGTATAAACACTTGATTGACAGCTCTTGGTTGATACAATCAAAGTAAAAATGGGACTCAACACGGCAGCAATCAGAAATGTGTATGATTTTGAAGAGCTTGATATGAATCATCAGGCTCTGAAGTGTTGAATGTTACCTTCTGTTTTCCAGCAGGGGGCAGCCAAGGACTACGTTTCCTTTTAAATTAGTGCAAACAGGGATTACAAAAAAAAACAATATCATTTAGAGATTTGGTTTCCTTGCAGTTTGGTTTGAGCTTAAAGAAAAGTTCAACTAACGTGAAAACAGTCAAATGTATCCTATTCATATAATCTATATAAATGCTATACCAGAATTCAAAAGAAACAACGGTGAATGTATTACCTGAATGTCTGCATACTCATTCTGCAATCATGCGTGGTGACGACAGATACATTTTACATATTCAAATTGAGTTGCTTATTCAATATAAAACAAGTGCGTAAAATTGTACATTTCTAAAAGTTGTAATCTTGTATAGTTCACTCTATAATTCTTCTGTAAAAAAGTTGAATGAAACAACAGAGGGAGACTCACATGATAGCTTGAATGCGATCAATAACGACTCTCAGAAAAGGTTTTTTAGGATGAAAATATAAAACTCACATGTTCTCTTTATTTGCTGTATATAGATAGATGAACACCACTGGAGATTTGGATAAAAGCACACACACAAAAAGCTCATTTATGTAGAATATCAACACGTGTGAAGACGAAAAACAAAAACGGAAAAGATGTCAGATTACAAATAGATAAACTATCCAAATTCTATACGGTTCTCTAAATGTAAATAGTCACGTGTGTTGAAGTCTGTGCCACATACCAACTGTCTGCAGTTGCTAATAATAACCTCTGTATTCTGTACACAGGGTTTTGTACAAAATATGAAATCTACCATTTAATAGTTATAACATAAAATAAAAGTACATTATATGTACAATAGAAGCCATTTAGTATGAGACGTATACTAAAGCACACTTCATTCTTTTGAAAGAAGACAAATGTGACATGGAGAGCTCCAAAGAAGCCAATATTAAAGCCATTTTGAGAAGAACAACAGTCACCAGTGAGCGTAACAAACCCAGACAACCAACAATCAGAGGACGTAGATCACCGAAGGGATGGATTCACTTTCATTACAATCCACTGTGGGCACAGGGGGGTGAGGTAAGAAGCCTTTGGTGAATGTTTTTCTTCCAGACAAACACAGAGAAAAAAGAAAAAACGTGACTGCAGTATTATTTACAATTTGCACATTCAGTTGAAACACTGACTGAGAGGTTCTGCAGGCAAAGGAAGAAGAAAAAACACAAGGAAAACTTGCAAGCATCCAGAAGCAGATTCAAAAGAATATCAAGCCTACTGGGTAGTAGGTTTCTACTGGAGAAAGGGGGAGGGGGGGCGGTTAGAGTCAGTGTGCAGGTCCGGGCAGACGGGGTCAAACAACGGTATAAATCAAAAGCGGAATGGGACAGAAAAGATTTCCTCTCCTGTGGAGGCGAGCTCTTATCCACCCCACCCAGGGGAGGCGACCCCTCACGCCACGACAGACAGCATCACGGATTCTTTTCTAGTTGTTTTTTTTTCTATTTTCTTTCAAGTTTTATCAGGAAGTGCTTCATCGCTAGGTGGCGACCACTCTGCTTCTGCTCTCTAGCTTTCACCTACAAAATCCACTTTGTAGCTTCAACAAGGCAGCAGCTGGAGGTGTGCCACGTAGACTTGAAGGAAAACTTTTTTTGTTAATGATCTGGCATTTCTTTTTGTTCATGCTACTACTCGATTCTCGTTGGAACAAATATCCCCTTGGACTATAAAAGGCACTGTGAAAAGAAAGGCTCACGTTCAAAGCAAACACACCTCATCTCAAAGCAGTCTAATCTCTAACAAGTGTTTTATAAATAAAAGGGTCTTGCTTGAGAAGAGTAGAAAAAGCGATCACCATGGGCACAGTTTCTGCCCCTGTTGACTTCTCTCCCACACAGCAGCATTGTGTAAATCCAGAACATCTCTCGGACCTCTCTTAGCCCAACATGAATGACAGCGACTTGTACTGAATGCTAAATGGCCGTGTTGAACACACTCCTACCATGGCTGGATATGAGCGAGAAACCAAAAAGAAATCCCACAATCCCCTCTCATGTAACCAGGCACGGGCTGGACCTGTCCCAAGAGCCAATCGAATAGATCCAAACACACAACAGCACACTGTCTGACCATTGTTTGAGCCACACACTGCATACCTGCGTCAACTTATTGCCTACACAATTAAAAAACGATTGTTTATTTTTATGAGAAGTTGGCACCAGACTATGCTTTTATACAAGCACAAAGATCTGTTCGATTAAAAAACGAACTCTGTCAGGCCAGCACTGTGTGTCGTAACGCTTTTAATCTGGACACACACTGTACTAGTAGTCCTGTCCTGATTATCAGAACAATCAATTCATCTTCACAGCTGATAGAAAATAAAAATAACATAGCAGTTATACCGATAGGAAGTGTGTTTGACTCCAAGTAGAGCACCTAATATACTATGTGAAGGAGAAAATCAAATATAAACAGCTGTCTAGACTGTCTAGTTAAAATGAGAATAATAGCTTGTGTTAAATATATAGAAATGACTGATCTCATCCACCGCTGATTTCTGTTTTAAAAACCAAACAAGGCTCATGGTATTTGTACAAACACCTGACATCTATAGAGAAGAGGCTAGAAGAGACGACGGCTCACGCACAGAACAGAACACCTGAGAGAGACGACCAGGAGGGGGCAGCGCAGGACCCCGAAAAACAAGGGAGAAGAGAAAGATAACACTACAGTATCTTGGGAGAAGTTCAGGGACATGGTGCACTTTGTGGTCTTTTACAACAAAACGGCATCACAGATGTTTTTGCTGGACAAAAAGGGGAAGGGTGAGGGGGGGGGGTCAGAGCATTGCATGTCCCAAAAAGTCGAACAAGGCTAATTGGACGTGCCGCTTTAGACATTTTCTGCGTCAGGTGGAGCTGTTCAGTTCCGTGTTGTGCTGGGCTGAGATTCCAGAGTTCGGACGTTGTGCTGGCCTCTGTGGGCCCTCTGCTGCTGCTGGTGGTTCATGGTGGATCCAGGGTGGTCTCTTAGTGGCCGTCGTGCGGCGTTATCATTTCATCGGCTCTCCGATGCATCTCCAAGGCCGTGACGGTGCAGATGTCCCTGGGGAGTTCGGATTTCCTCCTCACCAACGGGCGCTCTCTACGCTGATCTTTTTGGATCTGGACACACATGGAGACGGGGAGGGATGGTACGATTCAGCGTTAATACACACACACTCCAACGTAACAATTATGGCAATTCACTGTCTCTCAGGAGGCAAAGGAAAGTAAAAAGTCTGATATTAATGTCTGTGCCCCAAGTTCCATCTGGAGATAAAAAAGCCCCTGCCTTCAAACTCTCAACAAGCACATAACAAAGAAAAGGCTTTCCAATCAGATTCAGTCTGATCTAAATGAACTATTTAACACTTAAATACACGCAGTTTGTTCCCCATGATACTTGGAAGTGCAAAGCATAATCTAGTGAGCAGGCATATGGATAATAGAGATGGTAGGCGTTAGATCTATGAATTTTAAATAGTTTTTTACGTCTGGCAGACAGGCTGTTCCAACAGAATCCTCTAATGGCGCTTTTCCACTGCAGGACCTAGCGCGGCTTGGTATGGTTAGGCCTTGGTAGGCCAGGCTCACTTTATGCTGTGTTTCCATTACAGTTTAGTAACAGGGGTAGTAACTATAGTAACACAGTGTAGGCGGGGCGATCGGCTGTTCAGCGGGCGGAGTGACGCTGCGTTAAACTGCCGTGACGCCATCTTCAATGCGAACCACAAAATCAAAGCAATCAGTCGTTAGCTGTGAGCACTAAGAGCTCACAGCTCCTCATAGACTGTGTCATGGCGAATACAGTCGCTGGTTTATTTATGTCTGTATAGGCCGTTGTTGTGAGTGTGGACGGAACATATACAACGTTAGCTTAGCCTGATCGATCCGATCTCCATTAAGAAAACACGCATTTAAAAAAAGGGTTTTTCGCCTGCCGTCTGTCTGCAGACTTGTCAAAGCATTAATTCACGGTTTTTACTAACCGGTATCAGTATGTTGTTACTTCAGCATCATTTTGAAACGTGTATTACAATTAAATCACGGTCAAATATTCATTTTGTTGTAGTTGTAGCCCCCTTGCCAACGATTCTCTCTGACCATTCAGCAGTTGAGTGTTTACGTCACTAGTTTTCAGCCCGGTAAGAACCTCGTTTTTGGAGGGCCAGAAAAAAGGTGAAAAAGTACCCGCTAGCCAGAACTACCCCTAGTGGAAAAACAAAAAAAATACGTGCTACGTGCTACAGTGGAAAAGCGCCATTAATGCACAGTTGGACACAGAATCTAGAAAATGATTTGTATATTATCCAAGTTGTGATAGTATATTAGGAAAAATAGCGTTATACAAAAATATGAAGCAAAAATGGGCCCATAATAATTGGACTGCACCAATGAGCAATGTAAGACCAAAGAAGACAGTAATATTGACTGCTCCACTACACTACAGTCTATTCCGTACCTGTATTGCCTCCTCCTCTACTTTTTTCTTGAGCAGGTTGACATCGTCTAGCAGCGGCCCGTCTGTCTCCATGTCCATCGGACCATCGCAGCCTATCGAGTCAACGTACGGCAAAAACTGTTAAGGGAGAGAAGCAGGAAAGGTGAAAAGGCATCTAGAAAAACTTTGAGAAATGTTCACTAACTTCGGAGAACTCAGTGACCTTTTCTCTTCCGTTTGTTTTTGACCATGCTGTTGCACGGTGCATACTAACACCTCATCAGTCAGAAAGATGTCTGACGTATTGATTTATTAAAAAGGTTAAAATGTTGTTGCTCACCTGTGGGTTTGACTTTGCAAGATTCTCGATCTTCAGCCACGCTTCGTCCCTCTCTTTCCATTTGGCTTTCTCTCTGTGACGAAACAAAAACAATCTTAGAATTAGTGTTAATTTCGTGTTTTAGTCTTAGTCCCGTGTTAAATTTCATTTTTAGTTTTAGTCATATTTAGTCACCTTCATCCTGTTTTTATATAGTCAAGTTTTAGTCGAAAAAGTCTGAGCATTTTAGTCTTATTTTAGTCAAAGAAAACTAATTATTTTAGTCTACTTTTTGTCAATGAAAACTGTTGAGTCTTTTTTAGTCATCAGATTATATAGAACATTTCAGTCAAACTAGTCTAGCCAAAACCAATCATTTGTCAACATATTTCACAATAAGATTATATCTTGTCCTTATTTGATGAAAAACACAGGTTGAATGATTAAGAAAGCACCTTTGCAGAGAGTATCTGGTTTGTGGTGTTTTTACCAGCTGTGTTATGGCCACATTGCTTCCCTTCTGATGAAACAAAACATTCGCTTTTTTTCTCCGCCTCATTGTAGCGAAAATGGGCCCAAATATCACATCGTTTTTTTCTCCCAAGCAGTGGTGGCTTTAGACTTTTTCGTTGTCAGTAATTTTGACAGACAGGATCGTAACATTTCCGTCATAATCCATTATTATCCGTCGAGTGCACAATTTATCTCTCACTCGCGCTGACGGGGGGGTATTCGGTTAACGCGAGTGCGACCACTGCTCCCAAGCCCTGTTGCCATTTTATTTTCTGTTAAATAAGGTTAGTTAGACCATGAGTTAGACCCGAGTCTTCCTGACAGTTCACAGTGTGCCGCTGCCCGGTGTAATTCAAATCTACTTCCGCGCGCACCGCAGACACACACAGCTGCTGCCCAGCCCGCAGCACCGGAAATGGAACTGCTGGGAGAAAAACTGACTATCAGAGATGTAACGTTATCTTTGATAATATTTCGTCTCCTCATTTTTCGTCGACGAAAGTAAAGAGAGATTTTGGCATAGTTTTTATTTAGTAAACTACATTTTCGTCTCGTCACTTTTCGTCAACGATATTGCATGATCATTTCGTTACAGTTATTGTTTACTGCCGTCGGTGCCGTCTCGTCATCGTCTCATTTTCGTCATGGAAAAAAAGGTCGTTGACGAACATATTTCGTCATAGTTTTAGTCAACGAAATTAACACTACTTAGAATTCGACTGTTATTGGTATCAGCTCAGTTTCTGGTATCGTGACATACCTAGTGCCATTCTTTTCATATCAAATAAGGTTTGTGTGATGTTTTCTTTGACATGTAATGAGACCATAAGATGTGATGTCTCCCTTGGGACTTACTTGCTTTTCTCGGCCCTGAACTGTTGGGTGCAGTCATCAAACAGCTTCTGGTTCATCTCCATGAAGAGTTTAAGAGCATTGTAGATCAACCCGTGGATCGTCCTGCGGAGAGACAAAAAGTACAACAATTCGCTTGATTTAATTACTTTCCAATTGTTCAAAAACCAGCATCACGCCAAGACACAGACACAATGGAAAGCCCGAGTAGGGTCTCACTTGTTCCAGTGGGTCTTGGAGTTGCGGTAGAGCGAGGGGAACATGATAGGCAGGATCTTGGCAGCGTTGTCGCTGATCAGGCTCATGATGTACTCATTGTTCCAGTAGTACAGAGCTCGTTCTGCCACCTAAGAACAGAGGAGTTTAGATGAGTTACAAATGCGTATAACAGATCATCTAAAAGTGTGTACTGGGATGGATGACTGTCGGACCTGGAAGTGTGGGCTGGACACACACTTGGCCAGCTGTCTGAAGAGCGGCTCCATGACTTTGACGAACTCCGACGGCTCGATGACGTCCAGGATCTCCTCCAACTCGTTCAGGAACATCACCTCTTTTGGACTGTGGGTCTTCGGCCAGTACTTCAACAACGCCATTACGGTCTGCGTGCAGCAACAAAAGATCATGGAAAAAAGAAGAAGAAGAATGGATGGATGGATGGCAGATCTATCAAATTAATCATCTGTTGATGAAGTAACACTCAGGGACAGTTTTATCCCACAGGCCATAAGACTGCTAAACACCTGAGCTGTGCCCCGATAAACGAATGTTGTCATCTTGCAATATGCTCATTTATATAAATAGTTATCACCGCAATAAACCGTATTTAATTTTGTCTTAATTTAATATTCTGGTCTTGTACATATCCCATATTCTATTCACATGTATATAGACTTTTTGCACTACTTTTTATTTTCTATTTTATTATATATGTTGCATTGTTGGAGGAGCTCAGGCCATTGCCATGTCTACACTGTAGCTTTGAGCATATGACAATAAAACCTTTGAATCTTGAAGTACTACAGGAGCTAGCATTGAACTGAATAATAGAGTCCTTTTAAGATATAAAGCACAGATAGCTAGCTTGTCTGTACATCACTGTATTTTTTTTTCAGGGTTGAGGATCTAATGTACTAAAATCAAATAGAGTTTGTTTTCCTATCTCTTGTATTGAATTCACACAGGCTAAGCAAGGTTATGGCCTACATATTCGCTCTCTTTATTTTATGTCCAAAAACATTCAATTGCATTTCCTCTTCCCTTTAATAAGATTTTAAAAATAATACAGTACCTGACATATCACATTGCAGCTAAGCTAATAAGGAACTATCCAAAGCTTTGATAATGGAATCATAGGGTTCACTCAGGCAATTTGATAATGAAATCTATAATATTATTGCCGTAACAACATTACTCAATCCCATCTTACCGGCTCCGTGAGGGTGCTATCCTTCTCTAAGAACTGTACAACACGTAGGGCCAGCTGAGGGAGGAACAACACATCATTTCAGAAAAACAGCTCGATTGTGAATAGTGTTATTATAAAGTTATTTTTGTGCAGAACACTATGTGGTTACCTGTGGGTGGTACACACTGAGAGACTTGACTTGTGTAAAGGCAGCAGGGACTTTCAGCAGGAATATCTTGTGCTCTTTCTTTCAAACGGTAAATGCAAAGCCATTGATTATGCTGTGAATAGAAAGTGGTCATTGAAGATAATGAGACAAAGCAAACACCTGTATGTTACTAATACAAATGTGCCTTTTAATGGATTTTACTAATGAAAACCATTACTGAAAATGAACCAGTGAATGTGAAATGGTGAAAGAGTAATGGGTGCACCTCCAATCATCTTACCTGCCTAATATCTCCAGTAATTCTGCTATTCCATTATGATGTTCAGTCTCATAATGAACCTGAAAAAAAGCAACATGGTTATAAAATCAAGGCATTTAGGCAAAATTCACTCCATTCGACAAAACCACAGGTGTCACTAATGTGTACCAGCATCATGAGTCACTCACCTATAAAATATTTATTAATGTGTTTCCTAATGTTGCTCGCAGGCCCAGGAACTTGCCATAGATGCGATGAAGAGTAGTCTTTAAAAAGTCTCTTTCCCTGGGGTCTTCACTGTCAAACAGGTCTAAGAGCTGTGGACAAAAAACAAAGGCATACATTAGACTGAGCATCAAAAATATAGATCCCTTAAAACCATGCGTACAGAAGTGTATCATCATGCGCTCACCTGCATTACAAACTTCTGGTCAATATACTTTTTGGCTATGTTTGGTTGAAAGTCAGGTGACTCTAAGAAGCGTAGGAAGAATTCATAAACAAGCTGTGGGAAGAAAAAAACAAGGTTAACACATGAAAGTAACATACGGATGTATTCAGCAGCATTTTACCTTGGTGTGTGTGTTCACCTGTAGATGTGGCCACGCAGCCTCTAGCGTGGGCTCGTCTTCTTTCGGGGTCAAACTCGGCGCCCGTGGGGTTTGATGATGTGGCAACGTCCTGAACATGTTCACAGCAAACTATGGAGAAAAACAGAGCAGCAGGTCAACTCTACAATCCTCCGAAAAAAGTGACGTCACTGAGTAAAGACGTTCATTAATCAGGTTACAACTAGCGATTCATATTCAAACATTAAATAGAATTACTGGACACTGGATGTAATGTCAACTACTCTGCTTCCTCTGGTATCCTAAAGCTGAGCCGGAAAAAGACATTTCAGCTTTAGCGAGATAAAATGAATGAATATATTTATTTAACAAATTAAAGCCCTATAGAGCAGGGGTTCCCAACCTTTATTGTGCCAAGGACCGGCAGATACATTAAAAGAAATTCGCGGACCGGTTGTCAATTTTAACTGATTTTAATATTTACTCACCAGCAGGTGGCAACAGAGGCCAATTGTATTCACAGCCTGAAGAAATACCAATATGCATCCAAAACATATTAACAACGTTTTAAAACCAGGATACAATTCAAACAAATTAGGACCACTGTACACATATTGATATAACTGAAATGTTAGTGAGACCCCTGAGCTTGTTTTGCCAGCTCCATAACTTAACGTCATACCGGGGCGTTCGTTCCGGTTGCACTCCGACAGCATTTAGCACTACATCGAGATTAAAATTAAACTAACTTCTTTTGGGGAACACCCACATACCTATGGAGTTGGCCAGATGTGTGTAAATTACTGTTCATGGTCATTTGAAAACAAATTGCCGTTGTTGGACCCACAAACACACAGAACATTACACACACCACAGCAGAGCTGAGCAGAAGCACATAAACATCATGGCCCTTTGTGAACGGACATTTCCCTTCATACAACGAGTAATCGGGGGAATATCGGGCCGTTCGTGTGGTGGTTTGTGTGTGTGTGTGTGTTAGAGGTGTGTGTGGCTGAACGTAACAGCCTGCAGTGGGGAACACAGTGAAGGCGGTGTGTACGCTCTGGTGCTGCACTTCTCCTGATGGCTGCAGCCATTTCTTGAAGTGAAGGAGGTTTTACCAATAAGAAAATAGCTCTACACCCCTGGCCGCAATGTCCTTAAAACGAAGTCCGAGTTTGAAATATATCTCAAATAATGTATGCACTGCCATTTTCCCCACATAAACATAACAGTCTGCGATGAAACGGTTGTCTCCTGTGTGCTCCACTTCCTATTGGGGCACCGGTAACTTTTTCTGCGCACGAGTGGCTGAGACCTTATGCTAACCAATTTTGATTTATTTTGTATGTTTTGGATGAAATAATAGACTGGTATAGGTGCGAAAATATTTTTTTTTTAGAATTTTGCAAATATTACGATAAACTCACAGCTATTTCGCAGCCCGGTACCGGTCCGCGGACAGGGGGTTGGGAACCCCTGCTATAGAGAACATCCAATTTAAGAAAATAAATAGCTAACTACAATTATGTTCCATTGGAATACTAGGCTAATTCAAGTGAATAATAAATAAAGTGAAGAAAATAAATGTCAATCTTGAGTCTGTGATAAAGATAAAATGATTCTTTTTTGCTTATTATCATTTCTGTTAGAGAGATGGTATCCAAGCTCTGAAGACCATAGATATTATCTCTCCAACAGCAATGATAACAGAAAAGCACACTTGAAAGATATTTCTCACAATGTACACACCCTGTAAACATTAGCTCAGTTTGTCCTCCACTTAAACAACTGGCGACTTCTAACGTTTGCTTTTAATACAAAACCGTCCAGCTGAAATAATAAAGCCGATGGTGGAGTTTCAGAAAGCCACTCGCGACAGTATTTGGATAAGCAACCAATGTTATAAACAATCATTAACGCAACAAAACCACAATAGGACAAATACTCAAGGGACTTGACAACTAAAACCTCTTTGCAGCCGCTTTCAAAGGATCTCAACTAAAGACTGGATATGCTGGCTACGCTACAGCTCACAGTGAATGTACTATTATAATTTAAAAAAAATTACATCGCGCAATGGGAAACATGTTAACTGTCCACTAAAAATGTAACTATACAATTATTACAGTACTCCATTTTTTGCCCAAAACAAGTAAATAGAAATACTGAAAAATCAAATACTCAATTCTCATTAGCTTACTTTGAAACAAGGTGTTTTCTTTATGAAAAAACAATGAATGACATGTGTATTCAGTGGTTGAATAATCCCTCGTGGTGTTTCCTGTTTCACAAAACACCATTCCCCAAACTGGGAAAACATCTATGTATTTTCTTTCTCACTTTCAAGACAGCTCACTCAGACAGTCCCTGATGAGACCAGACGATAAGAGGTCCAAACACACTCGTTCGTCACGTTGTGTTTATATTCTCAGCAGAAAACCATTTATAATCCCCCCCCCCCCCGGAGAATGGGACTAATGGAAGAACCGCTGTCATGTCATCCAGAGGTCTGCCAAAATATTGTTCTAAAGCTTGACCACCAAGACATCAAACATGGGAGGAAATACTGTGTGCAGCCTTAACATGAGAACGCACCCTTTAGGGTCTAAAAAAGGGAGTTTGCCGGGTCAGTCTGCGCACTTGATGATTAAAAGCCTTCAGTGTCTTCAAAGGGTCTTTAAGGGGGAAGGGGCAAACGTACGGTCAAGTAATAAGAGTTTGTGTTTCATGCAGATGTGTTGCATTTTTGGATCAAATGAAGCCAAGGCGAGGAGGGTGGAGGGTAGATTTGGCACCTTGATCCTCTGCAGTTTACCATGTGGCATTGAGGCATGGCTTTGATTACAAATCAAAGAGCTTTTTTTTCATTTGGCTAGGGAAAGCAAACCGGGCACCGAGCACACATCCGGGACACGACCTTTAGAGCAACCCATTTCTAATAAATTATACAGTGTTACTCAATGACCGCCACAATGAATAAACGAGGTTCCGAACATGCAGAAGATGTAGCAATAGACTATTTCAGGTTTACTTTCCTGGCCATCTTACCACAAACATCATAAAGTGCCAACTGGAAGGAAACAAAATAATATAGGTGTCACGTTATGGCTTACTAATCATTTAAAAAGAATAAAGCTGGGTGGTTATTGGGTTCAATCTGAGATTAGGGATGCTCATGTGAGTTTCCTATGCCTTAGAAAAAAATACATCTTACAAGAAAGTATTGCTGGCAGGGAAAACGGAAACCGCAGTACATTCTCTTCCCAGTGGCGCAGAAGGTAGAGCACACAGAACACACAGATTCTTAACAAACAGCAGATCCTTGTTCGGAGGTCAAAGCGGGAGCTACATTTAACCGAGTCACATGGATCTGTTAATGGACCAGCACCAGAGGCGTTCCCATACACACAGGCGGTGGAGCTGTTCTTCATGAAATCCCAGAAGGATTAAGTGCTCTGACAAACAGTGCCATCTTTGCGCAAAATGATTATACAGTAATGAAAAGTCAATAAATAAACATGTATATATCTTAATATAATAATAAACTGTTATGCAAAGTCCTGATGTAAAACAACCAAAATGTGTTTAAAAAAGCCTGCAGCATTTCATTTAGTTTAAAACGGTAGCAGTTTAAAATGTATTGTGACTTCCACTTGCTAATCTGAAACTCACAAACCTGCAAATGTTGCTTACAAACAACTTCCATCCTGTATGAGAACAGAGGAGGCCATTGTAAAGGAAATGAAAATAGCACATTCTCTGTCAGGTATGCAACATAAACAACTGCTCTGTCTCATATACAGGAACCTTCAGTATGGAGCTGAGTAATGTACGGTCAAACTGAAATCAATCTGTAGTCTGTTTCAATACTGACCAGTGTTGCACGGTGTACCGATACTTGAAAGGTACCGCGATACCCTGCCGTTAAAAACGGTACAATTCCTCCGTTTCATTAGTATCGGTACTTTAAGAATGACGGGGAAAAGTACTCGGGTGAGAAAGCGCCGTTTTAATAAGAGCCGTGTGTGTTCAGCGCTCTGCTTCCACTCCCTGCACTGCAGCCGTGCCTGCAGTCCCGCCCCTCTCAAGCACGCTCTAAGTCCCTCCCCTCTCAAGCACGCTCTAAGTGCCTCCCCTCTCAAGCACGCTCTAAGTGCCTCCCCTCTCAAGCACGCTCTAAGTGCCTCCCCTCTCAAGCACGCTCTAAGTGCCTCCCCTCTCTCGTGCATGCGGCCACGCGCTAGCTGCCAGAGCATGTGAGAAAACGAGAAGCATGGCTGCAAGTGGGAGTGCAACTGCCGCTGCGCCTCGGCTTGTTGACAAAAAAGACGCCAGAAGCGAAATTTGGAAGTATTTGAGCTATATCTCTGACAGTGAGGGCAAGCCTACGGACACCATGAGGCCGGTCTGTGAGACATGTTTTAGATCCCTGCAAACCAAGGGAGCCAACACATCAGACTTGGCTAAGCACCTGCCGACCGGAATCCAGAGCCGTTTAAAGAATTTAAAGACAGACAGGTTAGCGAATGTGATAGATAACATAATTACATCATGCTCAATCCCATGCCCTCACATCTAAGTCAAACAAGTGTAATTTATTTTGTGACAAACGAGGCAATTAATGGCAATGATAACGGTCTAATGGCTATCTTTTTAGCTAACTTACCAATGTGGCTAACATCTGCAATATACATTTTGTCAATAATTATTTATATTACTGTACTATTACATGCTAATAAAATATAAAACAAATATTTTATAAAACAAAAAAGTTGTTTGAGATGATGCTTAATTTGATTTAATACGAATTCTTGTCATTTATTTTGTTTATTGTTCTCATTGTTTAAAAGTTTGTGTTATGGTTCTGGTTCTGGTGTGAAATAAAGCACAATAATTACATTTAAGACTGTTTCCCTTTTTTTTTTTAAGTATCGAAAAATAATCGGAATCGCAATTCTTGACTTGGTATCGGTATCGAAACCAAAATGTTGGTATCGTGACAACACTAATACTGACCATGTGCACCACCTCTGGGTAGATGGGCTCTGTGATGACATTCCTGTTGTGGGTGATGTACTCCACCATCTCGCTTATCGCCGCCCGCTTCACCTCCTTCCATTTCAGGTCACTCAGTGGGTCTGAGACGAAGTCAAAGAGGACGCAGCACTGCCGCAACTTCTGGATGAACAGCTTCTCCTGCTCTGCAAGGGGAACATCTGCGAGACACAAGAGGAAGTCAACAGTCAGTGTGTGTGAGATTACAAATCAATTCAGACATTAACACTGTATCTGGGAAATGTAGTCTCAACCCTATGATGGGTTGTCATCACGTGAGAGCTTCATCTTTTCATCAGCAGAATATAGAAGTAGCTAAAACATTGCTGGAAGTTTAATATCTAGGAAACGCATGCATAATGATGCAGCACCTGGTCTTTTATAGAAAAAATGATCACGGTTACATATGTGGAGGTAATACTGGTGCAGGAATGAGTCATAAACATGGAAATGAGCTAGCATTTAAGCACTTCTCGTCCCCAACTTCTCAAGTTCATAATGTTTATATGAGTTTATACGCCTGAAATGAGGTCTGTGGTTAATACAAAGATCAAGAGAGTGTTCACGTTTTGTTATGTGATCACACCAAACACGAGTCTGCCTTCTGCTTAGTGACAGGAAGTCTTGTGATATAATGAGTTTGCAGCATTACATTAGCTTTGTATCCCTGCTGATAGCATGTATGCTTTAAATAGGATAAAAAGTGGTGTTAATATGTGGAGATTTTAAACAAAACGTCTAATATCATGAACGTTTGTTTGGCCATAGAGCTTATTCTCTGCTATATCTCAAAATACAATGGAAAAAAATCGCTTGCTAGTTTCTGCCGGCTGGTCTAACCACAAATAAGTCATCACTGCACAACTCATTGATAAAGATTGTTGCCATGGTATGGCCAACAATCATTGTTTACATGTTTGTTCTTCTCCCCCCCACCATGCAGGGATCATTTGTACATCGCTCCTGGAGTTAGTCAGGCTCAGTAGAGCTGTAATGTGATACTGTGGAGTTTCATGTAGAGACATCATCGAAAGACTTCATAAATCAATAATTCAGTCAGCTACGACATCAATGATGTAGAAGCTCCAGATGATTGAGCCACGCCCGTCTGTGTGATCATTAACCTGCCATTTCAAAATCATTACACGTTCCTCTGTAGCTACTGCACACTCACTGGCAATGAGACAATCTCCATTCTGCATGCATTATCTTTGAGTAAATCATTACTAATCACAATCCGTCCACAACATTCAATTAATATGCCATCAAACAAACATTATGATAAATAAGAGAATAACTCACATTATAACTACTTAATGTTGAAACCATGTTAAAATGTATCAAGACTTTCAGCAACCCCAGCATTACGGTCGGGCTGTGCCAGAGGCTAGGAGCACAGGAGCTGAATGCAAAAAGATGTATGCTCTGAATTTTGGAAACGTTACACGTCTGCTCCCAGAGGACCTAAAGGGCTTTCCCATCCTGTACAACAAGAATGTAACGGATATATAATGAACAAGGACATCTAGTACTTTATTAAAAATAAACAAACATTACAACTGTTTTTATATTCGGTACAGTTATGGATCAAGTGGTACTGATTTGCAATATTTTGGGAACTTCTTTCACTGATTTTTTTTTATTGTTTCTACTTAGGCTTTGGATGTGATTTTTTATTTTATTGTGCATGCATCTTTATAATAATCTGTCCCCTTGGCTGTCATAATAAAAATGTCCCTGTGGACCAAATAAAGTATTTCTGATTGAGATTCCGACAGTTTTACATAATGTAGTACACTGAGAGGGTAGCTATCATGTTGTACATACTGCAATAGGACATGCCAATATTGCTGAGGTGTTAACTTTTATGCTATTGACAAAGTGTCAGTAGAGACAGTTTTCCCTTTAGCCTCAGTTGGTCAGAATCCCAAGCTATAACAAGTACCTGAAAACAAGTGCAAGGATGCCATTGCCCATTTATTTGCATTCAACGAGGGGATACAAAACAACATGTCACCTTCTTTAACCCACCCATTGGGCTGAATGAGTTTGTTTGTCTCATCTCCCCATTAACAATCTGTATGTGTACTAGGGGTGCAACAACTAATCGACTTAATCGATTACCAAATTAGTTGGCAACTAATTCAGTCGTCGATTCGTTGGTGACGTCATCACATTGTGTTCTACACCCCGTTAAGCTCCAACGTTATCGGTACAGGAGACATTTAAAAACATATGTCATATGTATTATTGCTACATAAACATTATATCGCAGTCTTAGTGTCACCAACTCCGTTTCTAATATGCAATATGACTACAAAATGTGTCTATAATGTATTTTCGATCTTCCCAATTCAGACGAGATCTCTCTCCCCCGCCTGCTTGCGAGGGGGGCGGGGCAGTTTACACACACACAGCTGCTACCATGCAGCAACACACACACACGGAGGGAGATGGCGGAGAGAACGCGCTCCGAGGTGTGGTTAAACTTTAGCCGTCTCGATGCTCGTTACCAAAAGTGCAATAAGAGTTTAGCATGTAAGGGCGGTAACACGAGCAATTTAACATTTATCAAAAGTGCTCCACATTCAGACGGAGAAATGCACCGGGTTCCACTGTCTTTCTAGCAGCTCTGTCGCTCCATCCACGAGTAACGTTTCCACGTCAGGTGTTATGTATGCTAGCAGCAACACACGGAGTTAACTCAATTATAAAAACATAGGTTAATGATTAGAGGTAACGGAGTTATTTATTTTGTTAAAGTTTCAGATATTCTGTCAGATTATTTAATACGATTTGTTAAAACATTGTTGTTTCTTTTGATGTGAAATATTATTTATTTAATTAAAATAAAAAGCAATGTTAGTTTTGTTCACAATTTGTTTAGTTAGTTTACCTTATTTCTTGTCAAAAGAACCGTTAATACTATCGTTAAAAGGACAGGATCGATAAGCAGTATCGATATAAGTAGTAGTACAGTTAAAACCTTAACGATCCGAATAATCGATTAATCGTTTCATTAATCGATAGATTAATCGATTATCAAATTAGTCGTTTGTTGCAGCCCTAATGTGTACTGTAGGTAGCCATGGAGACCACAGACAGAGATAGGACTTTGGACCACGAGGTGACTGTTGCTAATCAAAGATGCAGGCTGCTGCTGTTACAAAGGAATCATATGCTGCCGATGTGTTGAGCCCATCAGCTGTGGCCATGAGACAATTCAGCCAAACTGACCTCGCAAAACATGGAGCACTGGAAGTAGAAGGGCCATGGATAAAAAGAAAAAGACTTATGGATTAGAAAAGACATTTTTTTTAAAAGATTCCTAGTATAAAAGACTCCAGCCACAACTTTCTGATTTTTTTTTACAGCCTCAGTAAACTTCCTCTTATCCTTTAACTTTGTAATTCTCAACTATAGTGGTTATTTGCATAGAACCAACCTGTTCAAATGATTGGGGAATGAATGTTTGCAGAACTCTATGCAGTAATAGTTTTAATTGGGTTTTTAAAAGCTGTTTAAATGAAGCTGAGTAGAGCCTGTAGAAGTGAAACACTCATATTCCATATCTTCTTAAAACAGATGTAGCTTGACGAATTAAGAAAAAAAATGCAAGTCACATTATGATAATACTTAGCTAGTGTTAGCTCTCTTGCCATTGCTTACAATGTGATAGTATCAAGGATCAGGGACTACACTGAAAAAGTAATAGAGCATCTGGGCTCATTATTAAACCCAAACTAAATCCTTAATTAAATCAAACAATCCCAACATCTAGCCTTCGTATGATAGATTAACATAATATTTAACTTTAACAAACATGAACCAACACGGATCAGATTGAGATGCCAAGAGTCAACATCAGATATGAATAACTATTGTCAGATTAAAGAAAACATATTAAAGTTTAAGCCCATCAATAGTTGCAGCACTATAGGGAGAACCTTAGATTTCAGGTAATTTTGCTTTTCTAACTGTAAAACATAAAATGTCTTTGTCTTGCTGACATCTTTGTAATTAACATTGGGTATCCATGATGTGTATAAGGGACCAGCCGATACTGCTGCACTGCTACAAACATCGCAGTTGATACTTAATAAATACATGCATTTAATTACTTGCCACTGATTTAAGAAGATGATTCGAAGAGATTCAGTACTGCATTCGTGCATACTCCCACACAAGCGAGAACCTGACCCTGGGACTGACAGCACCAACAGGCGGACTTTCCCAGCGCCTCCACGCTTCTGAGTCACTGAGGCACATCTTGTATCTGACGCAACAGCACCAAATGCAGCTACCTGTGTGCTACCTATATGTTTTTTATTTACTGTACATTTCTATTGATTTCTAGAACAGGCATTACAAAACATGTGTATACAAGTTTGTATCAGCTTGGAACAAGAAGTCTAGCTACCCGATTACAAAACATTTCTGAGGCTATATTCGGACACAGTATAGATTAGTGACAGAGTGTGTAAGTAGCTTCGCAGTAACGTCACACTTCATTCCCTCCATCTTGACTACTGGTCACAGACAGGATCTAAGACTATCTGTGCAGTGGAAACGCGCCATTATGGCGCGTTTCCACTGCAGCGGGTAGCTCGCTTTAAAGCGTGCGAGCCGTACGGGGCCCGTTATTGGTTGCGTTTCCACTTGGCCTAGTACCGGCTAGCGGGTCCTAATTCACAGTTTTTCTGGCCCCATAAAATCGTGGTTCTAGGGCCAGGAACAACCAGGCTGAGTCGGGCTGAGTATGCTAAACTAGAGAGAGAATCGCTGGCAAGGGGGCTACAACTACAAACAAAATGAACATATTTGACCGTGATTTAATTGTAATACACATTTCAAAATGATGCCGAAGTAACAACATACTGATACCGGTTAGTAAAAACCATGAATTAATGCTTTGACAAGTCTGCAGACAGACGGCAGGCGAAAACCCCTTTTAAAATGCGTGTTTTCTAAATGGAGCTTGGCTAAGCTAACGTTGTAATATGCTCCGACCGTCCACACTCGCAACAACGGCCTATACAGACATAAATAAACCAGCGACTGTATTCGCCATGACACAGGCAGTCTGTGTTTGCACTTGTTTAACTTTTTGTCTAGTTTCTGAACAGATATGAAGAGCTGTGAGCTCTGAAGTGCTAAGAGC